GCAATCCGCGATCTCGTTCTCACCTTCCTGGTTGGATGTGAATTTCAGCGACACGTCTCGACGGGAATAGTCAGTTCGCAGGTCGTAGTGTGCCCAGTGAATACTTGGGTAACCGAAACGAGCTTAGCCTTTTCTTAGACAGGGTTACGCATACGTCTCTGCCAAGCATAGTCCTGCTGATCCACCCGTACATAGCCTTCAGTTATAGCTCTCATAATCCTTGTCCACCAGGCCAAGTTTTGCTTGTTTACTTCCACATGCCATGGGTTATCACTGGTCAGTTCATAGGGTACTTGTCTTGCCTGCTCCCATTTAGGCGGCAGGAGATATAGGGGAGATGTCCTTGACAGTCTACAAGCTGAGCTGTCCATGCCAATTTCCATTTACTTTACTCGCCCTGGTCAGACGCGAATCTGTATTTCCTTTTGAAAATTTTCATCTACAGCACGGGACTGTTTTCCGAGCCTAGAGGCCCAAGTTCAGGACTCTGATGATGACGACCTGAGGGTCAGCGTGACGCAACCACACCTTCTTACAAGTTCTGCTAATTAATCTCATACCTGTGTGATAAGCCTCTTGCTGACAGGCCTAGAGTCGTTCTAGACCGCAACGATATGTATTTCGGAGCTGATGACAGTGCGGCAAGGTAGGTTATATCGAACGACCACAAGCAAAATAAGCCATCATTAGAGTGGCACCCGAACGTGCTTCAGTCAGTATATTTGGAGTAAACGACAGAAGCCCTGAAAACTTCATTTAGACGGTACAGATGTAAGGGAAAATAGTTAAATTGCAAAAATTTTGATTACAGTTTTAGTAAGGAAAATTCTTAAATCTAGTAATGGAACAGAAATGCGAAAAGTGTATACTTTTCGCGAAATAATCGCGAAAAACTTTGTTCACCGCATCCGGACTGTGAAAATTTTCATATGGGTCAAGTTTGACGCACAAAAGGATCTATTGAAATTATGTTAGTAGTGTATTTATAGTCATTTCAGTAATCCGTTAGATCAGGCTTCGACAGTTCGGGTTGCCTTTCAGCCCGTGAGCACACAGTTGTCCCTTGAACACACTCACGGTAGGGGAATTAACAACATACTCCGGCAAAGAATTCCATTGGCGAATGACCCCCTGTGAGAAAAAGGAGGAACGTCAATTTGTGTGGCACAGTTCCCTTTTAAGCTGGTAATCATGTCGTCTGAGATTAGACTTGGGTGCCATTTCAAAAGACGTTTCCCATTCGACATGTAGACTAAGTCCTCTTAGCAACTGGAAAGTTGCTATGAGGTCACCTCTGTCCTGCCTGTAGTGGAGGGAAAAGGGGTTCATGGTCGTCAGGGGGCTGCTCGTACGTAACATTTTTGAGGCCGTGAACGGCTTGCTTCAACTTAGACGTGTTGGGTGATTTTTAATTGTATTTCTTTTTGTATGTTACCTAAGAATTCAAGCTTCGAGATTACTGGTATCCTCTGGCCTTGGCGAAGACAAATATCTTGGTATTTTGGTTGTTTATTGAAGGAAAGCTACTGGCATGTTCTGGAAATGAGAAGTTGATTTTTTATCTTCTGGTCCGTTTACTTCCTGGAGTTCTATGGACTTCTCCTGAGCTGATGTCACCATATAATTAGCTAGAAATCGGAAACCTCCATTTTAACACTGTAATGTATACGTATATATAACTAGGAAAGGCCGCGAGAATTCATCAGAGCCTGACAGCGATTGCCTGAGTAAAGCCGCCCTTACTTCTTTCCCATTAGAAGTCGATTCTGTTCGAAATCCGGAAATGGTTTAAAATAAGGAAATAGAAAGCACGATTTGTGATAATTTTCCATAATTTGGTTTACTACTCTGGTCAACCTAAAATAATCCCTTTGCTGCGGTACAAGACGTTCTGTAAATGGAAGCTTTTTTGATTTCAAGCTAACGCATAAGCACGCGACTGCTCCACTGCATATGGAATCAAGGCGCAGGCTAAAGGGCAGAATCCGGATCTACCATTAATGCAGGAGCCGTAAACTACCATTAGAGCTTTATTACTGGAAAAATTGCCGGATATCTGTTGAAAGCTTATGAATGAGTTTGCCCATTCCAAATCACTTTTTAAATCAGTACCATAGCCGAAAGCGAATGACTGGAAAGCCAGCCAACTAAACATTAGAGATTACGGTGCGACTTCGCCATCGTGGAGTGTTTAAAGCATACACACTTTAAGTTGGACTCAAAATTAGTATAAAAGGAAACATTAAACCCTCCCGTTTTCTAGCATGCTTTGTAACATCGATGATATTTCGTAAATTTCAGTTGCCGTCTATTAAGATAATGTTCAGTTTCTGTGGGGCTTACTGAAGATGTCGTCTATGATCACGAGGTGGGCAGTCGTGCAGAATCCTTGTTTTCTTTGATGGCCGCCCAAAGAGAACATGTACTGAAAACAAAATTCATTTAAGTGGTTTTTAACCCTAGAAGAGGGCACTGTTCGCAATTTTCATGGGGACAGGCTTGTATTTTCTCATGAGATCGATTGGCCAAAGGGGTACAGTAGATCACGGTTACTTTGGCCACCAGTTCATTGGTTTGGCCGACAATCCCAGCTAAATGCGAACGAGCAGAACTAACTTTTATATGTGTATACAACTCTGCTTTGATCATTAGGGCTAGCCTGTAGCTAAAGCTGGTAGGAGAGCTTGCATTTTGTATAGCGAACTGTCTACGTCAGTTTATCTCGCAGTGTGTAGAGTACGAGTTATTTTACAGCCACATAGTCATCCTTGTGACAAGGCACTGGCAGAAATCGAACTGCAGTCACGGCTTCGGTGTGCTAAGGGAGGAGTCAAATTATGGAACACGTCTTTGTTCCCCCGTTAACCCTTTCGGCGACAGGTTGTGTTCTAGTTCCTTGTGCTCGGAAGCTCTGGAACAGGCAGTTTACGGAAATTACTTCCCAGTGCTGCGTCTCGTAACGCTCTCCGTTTAAGGGTGTTTTCAGCCACCCTCTACTGAAACAGGCCTGTAGCGTTTCCACCCGAGGATTGGCAACACTTGACGGTCTCGTAGCCAATACCCTTGAGTGACAATCCTTAAACGTGCTTTAGATCAGTCGTCTATCACGTTGAAATGCTGTCCGTCTCGCCAGCTCCGTATTTAGAGGAGGTTTGTAGATACACCTCGACACGACGTTATTGTCGACTGCTGTGCAGAGACCGAGTCCACGTAAACAGAAACTTCCAGGAAGGCAGTGGTTTCCCATACTCCAGCAGACGGGAGAGCATCTCGCCTAGGTAAATTGCCGATACACGCAAAAACTGAGGGCCAGGTAACGGTTGTGAAACTAATAACTCGACTGCATGAAGGGGAACTTTTTTCGCCTGACCGTTCGAATTACTGCGGCAATTAATCGCAGTCACCAGGACCAAGTGGTACTTAAATGCTGCGCGCCTTGCGCCCCCGCTTTCTGTATTTGCTGCTGCCTACGATAATGGGTTAGATAAGGGGTCAAAAGGTCAGAATAATAAATTAATTGTTCCACCGATAAAGTCTCCATCTTTGCAACTGTTTCCTGCGAATCGCCAATTCCAATGCTCCAGCGTATGACGTCTAAGAAATCCAATCGAAGACCAGGTGTACGAGGCTGATAATTACGTGGAACATACATTCACGGACCCCACGGGTGTCCAGGTGGTCTTGGAAAATTTTCCGTCCGCCTACTAACATCTCGGTTTTTGGGGTAGTCACATTACTCCATGTTTCAGAAATACCCACCGTGCCCAGCAAGGCTTCTCAGTTAGTTCTCCAACTCACTGAACTTATTCCTGAGAGTACAGGCGCAGCGCACCCCTTCTGGTCTTGAGCAAGAAAGAGCTTAGAAGTCCAGACGCCAGGTTAAACAGTACTCCCACGGGCAGAACATGCTGGGCCAGTTTGGGATAAAATTACACGTGAGTCGGCCAGAGCTCCGGCCGTTTCTTGCCGGCTGCAGGGGCCGAATAGTACTCGTATGTGATTTCAATCACATTGCAAAACGTCCTACGCTCACCCTCTAAGGTCCTAAGTACTTCTGTTCATGGTTAATATTGGCCTGACCCTATCCGTTCGTCCAGCAGTTGTCAGAAGAACTTGACCCTACCGACTGGTTTGTCTTTACCGATGGGTTAAGTCCACTCGACGAACGCGGCATCAATGAGAGTGCGTTCAACCGTATTCGCCATGTCCCAGTCTGTTTCACGTCGTTCAGGTCTTTTTGACCCATCTCTGCAGCTGTCTGTCACTGAACAATTCTAAACATCTATTGCTTCACAGAGATCAGCCGAAAATGTAGCTTGCTCCGACTAGTCTCGAGAGGCGCAATGAAGGAGATAAGATCATTCTCTACGGTATACGCTTTCGGTGTGATTTTTACGATAATCAGTATTTTTCCATGGCACATTAAGTCTAACTATAAGGTTGTCCAACCTTCATTTACGGATATACTTGCTTAATAGGGGTGCTGCACCTGCATCCTTAAGGAAAAGTCCTCAATGAAGACTCCATACAGACAATGCCGATTGGTACTTCCATCTTTTTCTGGGGACTTCAACTCGGCTGCATTAGTATTAATCACGATAACCTACAAGTACTTTGCACGCCTGCGCTTGTAAACACGTAAAAGGTTTACCGGTGCCTTGATGGTGATTTCAGTATATCTTCAAAGGAGCGTCATGAGAGGTCACTAATGATTCCCTGGTAGTCTAAATCCTAAAATATTTTTTCTTTGACGATCACACTTCTTGACTATGTTAGTCTGCAAAAAGAGTTCGCAGTCAGACAAAAATTGTCCATTTAGAACGTCCTGGGCTCAGCTATGAGACGGGCGTGCCATGGCACGCGTAGGTTGCACACCACCAACCGTGTGCGTGAATCGATCGAGTGGTGAATTTGAAGCAATCGATCATAAACAGCTTAGGGGGCTGGGGTCGTGACAGTCGGAAGTTCCTCGTATTTTTTCCCCTTCATAAGGCTCCACTATGTCCAAATTGTCTCCGGAAGACATTAATGTGTTGTCTGTTAGGGCCTACTATGACAGCAAAACAGCCACAAACACGACAGAAATGGCCAACCTGCTAAAATACGAGAGCCAACACTTCCGATGCAAGGTGCAGTTGGAGCTTCCGGAGTGTATTGCGGACCGATGCTGGAGCATTGGCCTGGTGCAGGCCTGTGATCGAATGTACTTGGAGAATCGTTACGGACAAAGTGGGAGCTCGTTCTGGGAGTTTCATCCCCTGAAAAGTGGGCGACACAAAATGGTCAATGACAGTGACGGCCGTCAGTACCCCTTTTACAGCTTGACCAGCAGCAAATTTGAGGTCCGGCGAGGTGTTATCTCCGACAGTTTGATATCTCTGACATACGAAGATCACTTTTACCCAACTGTGGCATGGGAACTCCCCTACTATGGAGGAGCGAAACTTACAGACGTTATTCGAAAACAGGACTTTTGGGTGTGGCTTGTGGCCATTAAGCGTGCTAGCTCGCGATCAGCTACCAGCGATGTTTTCAACGCTAAAAACGATGAAATTTACATACTCAAGACGATGCGGTGGCGTTACAATCTGCATATGACCTTTGATCCTACGCAGCCAATCGGAAAACGCCTTCAACGCATCTACGACACTCAAGAAGAGCAACCAGTCATCCTGGAAAGCAATCATCCTCTACCACTCTCGGCCCTCAGTCCGCCTCACTGCAATGCCGCTCAATCTCTTATCTGGTATCCCAACAATCCCAGCGACAAGCCAAAACTCTTAGTTCCACCGAAACAGATTATTGTGCCCTGGGACACTTGGACGAACGACATGGCACCTGGCCGCCATCTCAGTGTCAAGAAGCCGGACCAATGTAAGTTGGTCGGTGAATGGGCCCACGACACCGAAATTGGTGTGGACATCAATACAATGTCGGGAGCCGCAAACAGCAGGGCCCTGGGTAACCTTGAAACCGGTCCGTCAAAACAATCACGCGTCTCAAGTCGTTCAAGAGGCTGAAAGCACACATGTGAGCCTGCAAATGAGATAAAGGCGTGGACATAAAAGCATGTACAGCGACAATTTCTAGAGACAACGCTTTTTATTTTCATTCATAAAAACTCTCATTCAACGTTGACATTCGGATCGGCTCTGCCTTGAACCTTCAATCGATTGGTATCACACAACTTCTTTCTGCAGTCGCCGACAGTTCGGTCCGCACGAGTCACTTCCCGAACTGCTGGTTTCAATCCTTCCTGTCAAGAAGCCCACGTCATTACATTGGCTTTTCAAACAATTTTATTTTCCGTTTTAGTTCCCCATTAAATTGTTTAAACTAACTTGCTTTAAAATGCTTGCTTTTGTAAATCCGAGACGACTTTCTAATTCTTCCGGGCGTATGGGGTACGCGCAGTGACAGATTAGAATAAGACGTAGGTTTAACAGTAGGGAAAGTCGTTGGCAAAACTCCAGAACATGCGAGACTCCAAAAAGACAAGCAGTTCTAAGAGCCAGCAAAAAAGAGGACCAAACCGGGAATCTCCTTATTTCCACAAACCACCTCTGACTTACACTTAGAGCCGTCTATAGCAACAGTCTGGACTTAGCTCTGCTGTTCGCAAATCATAGCAAGGACGGCTTTGTCAGCTAGTCAGAATCAACGTGATCATGTAAGTGCTTACGTATGATAATTTTTGAATGGGTGAGTTTACAGTGCAAAGTTAACTAGGTTGGAGAATTTCTGAAACTGGCTCTGAGAGTTTCAGATTAAAAGAATAACCGTCATGCTACCAAAACAATGAGTCCGGTATTATCTCGACCGCAGTCGCCCATCTGGCCTGACTGCTGGGTGAACACACGGAGCACGAACCAATAACTTAGGACTGGAACACTGGATTTTAAAGCTATTGCTCCAAGATCAGGTGTCATAGTTTCCCAGCCCGATGTTGGGGATATTTGGCTGAGGACAACAAATAAACCACTAATTACTGCATCCTCTCTTGCCTTTTTCAGCGAAATTTTGTCAGTTTCTGTGGCGCTGGGCTTCAACTGCGTGCACTCCGCATCGTTTCCTTGGAGTGGCGCGTCGCTGGCTAGTGATACCATCTACGCGACTATTTCCGTGAAGTTTTGACTTTCGATACTCCTGGATAACAGTGCAGAATCATCGCTGTTGTACGTTCCATCACACCAGCTTTCTGATTAAGCCAAAGTTAAAAGAGAGAGGGAGGAATTGGACTTAACGAAATGAAAGAGGAAAATAGAAGGACCGCCTGTTACGAGTGATTAAGACCCATAGAGTCATAGTTATGATGTAAAATGCTTTGGAAATGTAAATGTGACGAACCTGGCCTGTACGGTTTCTTCGGGCTGGTCAATACCAAGATAAGCAGGAATCCCCTGTGGCTAAAGAAGGCGCTAAGTCAGTAAATTGGCCATAACTTTTGTTCATCCAACGCTCCAACACTTACCGGACTGCCGCAATGGATAGGCCAAAACTATCACGTACCCCGATTAGCACAGGCGCCCGATAAATGCCCTCCCCGCTCTGTACCCTTGTAATCGCCTGAACATCTGGCTTGCATCCACAGCTTAAGTTGGGATAGACTTATACAACAATCGCTTCGACAATGAGTGCTTCGCATATAGGCAGAGTAACCGTTAGCATAAAGACTGCAAAAAACTGAAATGGTTGTTACATCTGCTCGTATTTCTTCTGCTTGCTGGAGTCGGTCTGGAATACTGTCGTTTACGCGTAAGTTTCAGAGGGACATAATAATGCGATAAACCGACGAACGGCAATTTTTTCCAAAGAAACTTGGATATCCCAAGCAAGAAATAGTAACCATGAAGACGTGGAAAGACGCTCTAATGCAGAATCTCCGTGACAAAGTACAAAGTGGTGGAAGACAGGTGGAAACAAAAAACAGTGCGCCATCCGTGCGCCAACATGGATGCAAAACTAAATTATAAAGTAAGGAAGGAGGACACGTAGGGGGACTGTTTGGGCGGCAGAAGCCTCCCGCCGAAGGGCGCCAATTGACAGGTCTACGTGGATCGTTGACTACCGCTGTCGCTTGTCGGCCAGCGTTTTTAACTTATCGCGAAGGCGTGAGCGTAGAGCAAGCCTACGTTCTTCGTAGTCCTCGCCACAGGCCATGCTTACTTTACCGTCTACAGCCTCCTGGCCAGGCGGTTCGGGGGGCGGTGGTGGAGCCAGTTTACAGTCGTGCCCCGAGTGGGGCGGTCGGTGTTGAGGGCAGAAGAGCAGCTTGCAGTACGTGCAGGAGCCCCCGGCACCGCCCAGTAGGCGTGGACAGTCAACCAGGGAGCAAACCCGATGCGTGGCGTGCACCATGCCATCAAGGTCGTTAGGGTGCACCCGTTCTAACTGGGCGTTCAGCAGAGCCTGACGCTTGAGTGCGGCGGAGAGATGAGCATCCACCTGAGCAGGAAGATGTGAGGAGTGAAAGGGGGGTAGGAATGGCGGGCTTTCGGTTTCTGGTCTTTACATCTAGGAGTAGGAAGGACCTACAGTGTTTATCCACAGTGATATGTAAGTCGGAGGTTAGCCTTTCATGTTGGCCACTTTAGTGTCAAAGGAAGCCATAATAAATTATACATTAAAGTATGAGTGATGAGTAATAAAGAATGACTGCTACAACCCGAGTCCATTTAGTCTTACTTGAAAGTTGTCTAAGGAAATTTTAAGGATTACCATTGAATGTACCCTGTAAACCAGAACTTGAATTTTAGAAGATGGCAGCATATTTTGATTCCCATACCTATAATCCAAATGGCTGCAAGCACGCTCTTTCTGACTGGTCTCAGCACTGTTTAGCGTGGGGTCTCTACGTCCGCAACGATCTGCCACAGCAGATTTGGTAGCGCTGACTGAATACTGACACTTATCATGATGCACTGAGTTGACGCAAGTTCTGTGTCTCCACTAAAGCCGTGATACTGGTTCTGAGGTCGGCAGCACTCAACTCACAGGGTAGACGACAGATAATGTGACTGAGCTACTTCGTAAGTTTTTACTAGATGTCCTGTGATGCCTTCACGATGTCACTCTAGAAATTGCAGACTGTCTTATTCGATATGAAGTCTATATACTTCGCTCCAAAGATCGATATTAAACAATGGAGGTGTAAGACGTTCAGTTTTTACTCGTCCTCGCCACGCATCCCCCAACACCCACAGTCGCAGGCTAGAACAGAACAAATGTATGACTGATTCACGCGGGCGTTTGTGCCGACTGAGAGATCACGGTGTTCGCAGACAGTGGCAAAAGCCCGTATTTACTCAGGCCACAGTGTCATCTGTGCTCCATCTGTCTGGCAGCAGCTTGGTTCCGGGACATTCGAGATTCTACATCTTCAATCTGACAGTCATTAATCACAAGGGGTCCTCTCTCTTGGCAATAGCTACAGTTGAAAATGTTTCTGATTAACAAAGGTCAATCCGGCCATTCGCTCAAGGACTCGAGGTGAGCATCAATAATAATAACAAATGCAGGCGTAAGTTAGGCACCTACGAAACTGTATAGACTCTTCGGGAGTCCATTTAATGACGTAGCTGAACAAGATGGACGATAGGGTGCGTTCCTGTCGAACGTCTAGGCCAATATTGAGTAGTTCTAAAAGGTATTAAAGGGAATATAAACCACTGCAGTCGCAGCAGTAGTAGATCTCTATCTATCTCTGCTATCAGGACAACATCGAACCCCATGATCTGACAAGGAGGTTACGGCGAACGGACTCGGACCTTGGAGGGAAACCAGTAAAGAAGATAGCCATCGACTGATGGTAGCCATGACGAAATTCTATGAGTCGCCGAAGTGGTAATAACTGGTATATGCAAGTAGGCCGAACATGCGAATGCGATTTTACGGGGAGCTTAGAGTTGACAAGGACATCGCTATCTTACATTCTCCCCGTAGAACAGTATAGAGGTCCTTCTGTACCGCTCCTTCGTCTTATTCTTAGTTTAAAAACTTCTTGGTCACTTTTGCGTGTCGGAAATCCCAATTTAATTAGATTCCTTTCAAATTAATCGTCTGACACGCCATTTTCACATGTCCTCGATTGTTTACAGTTATAGATGAAACGATCTGCTTCCTGAAGAAACCAGCAAAGCCCTGTTGCGATCATCTACCTCTCAGGTGATGTTTGGCATCTTAAAGTTCATTCAGCTCGGCCGTCGGACGTGGATCGTGAATAACTTAACCATTATGAAGATAAGGCGGTGTTCTAGTGAAAAGGAGACTAATTTGAGCACTATATATCTAACTATATCTGTGGTCTCCGAAACAAGTGCTATTTAGACAAAAAATGAAATTTGGCACATGACGGAATGCAATTTGTGGGTGAGTTTTGGTTTGTGGCGTGTGTGGAGGCTTTGGTCGAGTCTGACAGCAATGTGTAATGATGTTTGGTAGCGACTGGCAGTTCGGCAATCTAAATAGCGATTTATTCCAGAATAACGGCCCGATTTACACAGCGATGTGTTATCCTGAGAGGACATGATGAATGTTATTGTGGAGGACATGGAGTATTCAGAAAACGCCGGGATATTTGACAATCCGTGACAATGAGGCGTCCAATGGGTAAGAGAATTGAGAGAATACGGAACACCGCCGGCGGACAAACGCCTACTAATATCCAAAGCTCTGCATATATTTGCGTAGTACGTATTGGAAGCGACTGTTTGCAAATTTGCTGAAATAGCGAACGTTTCACTGCGTTCTGCAAACTGATCCCAAGAGAAATACCGGAAAATGTGAAGAACAATTTTGAATCGTGGTGGGAGGTAATGCAATTGTCACTGCAAAGAAGAAATGTTGCCGCCAAATGCATACACAAGAATGGACATGGTAGTACACGGCAATAGGAACCACCCTTAATGCAGGTGCTCATGGACCAGATTCCAGGAAGGGTATAGAAAAGCAAAAGCTGTTTACCCGCTACAATACCCATTAGTATTCGTTTTTTCCACTTACTGATCGAGTTCTTGAGCGGCTTCTGTTTCTGGAAGGGCTTCGGCTGGAGTTACGAGCACGCGTAGCAGTCATCGTTGTCGAGGGACCGCTGGCTACCTTTTTCGGTGCCAGGCCTCGTTTCCGACGCCGGGCATTCTCCACCGCCAGCCTGTGCTGAGCCAGCTGGGCCTCCACCTTGGCCTGGCGTTCGCGCTGCTTGAAGCCCGCCCTACAGACCTCCTCGTGGCCACACTGTGCTTCTGGGGGGATATCAAGGGTGCACCAGGGGCAGACCCTGTGGTCGGGAGGACAGGTCTGCACGTCTGTCTCGACCATGCGGCTGCGACGAAGAGCGGCTGCGGCTGCCGCCTTGGCCGCGGCCTGACGACGAGCACGCCGGCGGGCGGCCGCATTCATCGGGGGCTGGGCGGGTGGTGGAGGCTGCTGAGCCCTTTTGCCGCGACCGCTGCGGCCCTAGTACACACCGGAGTGAGCAGAACACAAACATCGGCAGAGTGATGATCCTCAGCTCTAGTTTATCGTGCATAAAAGGCACTTATGACGGGTTTCCGGCGGGTACGTTTCCGCTCGTTCACGCATAAAACACGTGAGAAGGCGAGATTTATCACGACTTCTACAAGTGCGTTTTGATAATAAATTAAAGAATTCTGATCGGACTATCGATTAGTCAAGACACTTTAGATTTGGTGCAATAAGGTAAGAAAGGCGTCAACTAAATTACGCCTTTTTTCCCGCTTTTCGTAAGGCGTCTTCAAAGTATTACTTACTTAGAGAGGCATATGTCAACTAAGAAGTTGAGCTTGACAACACTGAAATCATCTCCCTCCTTGACAGCGAACTTTAGGGAAAAGTCCAAGTGTCAGGTTGATGTCAACGGGACCAAGAAAATTACCTCGTCATTTGTAGGCTTCGTTCAAGCTTCGGGATAAATTTACACATTTTAATGCAGAACTTAGTCAAAGTCAATGGAGTTCACGGCTGGAATGAAGAGGGTCAATAAATACTAACAAATCGCAACACGACGCGACGACAGAATTCCGAAGCAATGAAGCTTTTAGACAGACAATATTTCAAATTTTATGTGTCAATCCTCCAAGTATAAGAAGCCCTTTTGAGGTATAAGACAACAGAGTGACTTTTTCAAGTCCCACGGTATAATGCCAAACAAAATCGAACCGTTGTTGTGGGCCCTTTAATTGAGAACAGTTGGTTAGCAGTCAGCAGGACCTCAAATCAAGCCAAATGCGTCTGACTCTAAATTATAACAAAAGATCTCTCAATAATAGTAAAAGCACATATGTACTTAAAACATAGCTGTAGCCAACGCCTGCTCACCTTAGCCGGCGGTTCGCCAAGCGTCTCCTCTTGTGCCGTTGTTTGGATGGCCATTGTGATGTGCGTTGGTTGTTCAGTCGGTCGTTCTATTTCTTCAATTGTCAAAAGAGTAGTCTCTTCAAGTTTTAGATTATCAATTTTAAAATAAACATTAAAAATAGAGGAAACTTTTATACTTCCATTCTACTGTCTTTGATAAGATAAAACATGCGAAAGATGCAGTTGATGTACTGGAGTTTTGTTAACGAGGTTTGCGCGATGTCTGCAAGCCATTGATTTTTTAAACAGAAGACCGTTTGTCCAATTACTATCACATGTACGTAATATACAAAATTTGCCGATCTGCCTGCACGTTCAGCAGCTCCGCTGAAGGTCACTCGTCAAATTATCCCTGATTCAGCAATGACCTTCTTCACATTTACACTCGTTCTGAGAAGTTGCGAATAAAACGAAGCGCACCTAGTTCTCACAGTCGAAGCAACGTTTGTAAAGGTATCCGGTTCTCTTCTGTGTGCCGCCTTTTTTCTAAGGAGGTCCAGTGCCTCTCTCCCAACGAAACCATTTCCTATCTCGCAGAAAGCTCTTATTTTCGATCAAACTCGTTTTCGGTCTAGCAAATGAAAATCTGCCTACTTCCAATCACTTGTGACCTGTTTCATAAAGCCGTCCAATTTCGGGAATCATTTTCTTTATAGTTATAATCTTAGGTCAGTCAGTGGCTGGTTGCTACTCAAATATATCCCCGATATTGTCATCCAGTATTCCGACAAAGATGACTAGGTCTGCATCCATCCACCTTGTAACGGTCTATTTTTTGGACAGGAAAAAAATAGTTTAGTTTGATTAAGGTTATGCAAGTAACCACATGCTATGTCGTCTAAAAGTCGTCACTTCCCTTGCCACCGACTAGCGCTTATCAAGCGTTTTGTCGACACGGACCGTCACCTACACTTATGCTTTATCTGTCTCCCATTAGAATTCTACCACTTGTCTGCGGTATGGAAAATGGATATCGGAAACTTAAACGAAGCCTTTGTATTCATCTGTTTTGCCTGTATGCTTAGACCCCTCCTACCCTTTAATATGGACCTAAGACGATTTTCAAATTACCGGCCAAGGCACGCCCGCTTCCTTCTTATCTAGCGACAGCGGAATGTTTCCGTCCGACCGGAAGGCTTTTCCTCAATGCTGAAATTCTTAGGTACTTCCCGACTCTACCTTCTCAGGTGTCAGGATATGAAATCCTATTAAAATAAAATAAATTAATAGACAAAAAAATAAATAAATTAAATATCGTCATAATTCGTGCTCATTGTCATTGGCATTGTAACTGCTTTAACTGTAGCCCGGTGGTGGATGACATCTTGCTACCAGAAACGTCTAGCATATTAAAATCAAAGTCATCATGTAAGTATACGCACTTCAAACCCAGATATGACGCGTTTCAATAGCGCCATATAGTTGCTGGCTAAAAAATTGATGTATTTTGTTAATATGTTTCCAGTCTTTTGGTCAGTGGTTCATGAGCAGGACGCGAAGGTTCCAAAAGGTTAGGACATAGCATACTGTAGTGCTTAAACCTTCGTTTGTCAAACCAAGTTCTGTGTGTGCAGAAATCATGTTCAGTAATCATATATATATTCGGTCGCATAAGTCTACTGTGCACAAAACCATACGTTTTTATCGAAAAGATCTCTGGCAAGGTCAAATTCTGAAAACGGAAGACGAATAATATCAACAAAGTCTGAAAGGCCTTACCTGCCTGCAGTCTCCGTTCCTCTTTTTCTCTCTTTAGACGGTCTTCTTCGGCTGCCTTCAAGGCCGTTTCCATTTGCAAAGCTTGTCGTTGCTGTAAGCTGGCTTTCTTTCTGACAACAACACATCTGGATTTCCCCTTGCCAATGTTCAAAAGCACCAGTTCATTCTCTGCAGCAATCTAGGAAGATAAGCAAAAATTACTACATGTAGATGGCGTGTGGGAAAACATAATGATAAGCGCGTTGACAGTCAGAAAAAGTTGTTAGCTTTAAATATGGCTAAAGGATCCAAATCTTGTCTTGGATGGGTAAACATGGATAGCGGCACAGTGCTAAGCGATGCTTTCCAAGCGAGGCCTGCTAGAAACCTATACATTATTTTTACTTAAATGAAGCAATTAAATAAAACTAGTACATGGTTCAGGCATTTAGAAACGTAAGGGAAAATTCAAATGGGCCATTTCTACGATCTAAAAGAAGTCTAGTGCAATGACAGATCTCCATTTTCTGATACCACCATACCGAAGGTTTGCTATCCTCCCAAAAAATCCTGATTCCTTATTTCAGAAAATTGCGGTGAGAACAAAAATTTGGAAATGGTTCCACCCTTGATTTAACAAGTAGCTGGTCTGTTGTATTTTGTTTAATATACTACGGTGTTCTTCTTTTTTTTCTATTTCGACTGAGTGCGGCCGACGGGATGGTGGCTTAAACTCGTGGAGTCCACTGCAAAACCTTAAGCCGTAAAGCGAGAATTTGATACATATATATCTTGAAAAAGGATTTTAAGGTAGGGAGCAAGATCACCTGCGACGAAGCGGCTAGCAAGGTCGATCAAAGATGGTGAGTATATAATACTGCGTAAATATTGATGTGGCCTCGGAAGAGTTAATCCGGAGAAAAATTGAAAAATAAACACCAAAGGTTTTTAATCTGTTCAACAGCAAAGTCGCCCTGATGATAATTTGGTATTTTTGCCCAAAAAGAGTCCTTGATTAGGAAGCTGAACTTTGTATTATCTTGTTGGTTAACTTTCAGGGCTCCCAATTGTCAATATCGCTTTATCAATGGGACGCGTTAATTTAAGTTTAGTATCTCGGAACAAACATGGGGATGCCATCGCCAACAGAATCACTGATAGATACCGTCATAAGACTAGTGGCTAAAATGGGGAAATAACTGTCGGTATTGGGTGGTCCTGTGCCATACTTCTGAATTTGCAAACAATGCATCGCATGTGGACAGTAGAACTGAATTGTCTTCCAAAGAAATGGGGTTTTGTCTTACCCTCTTCAAGATTTTATGCGACTCAGCGGATAAGGAAGAAGCTGGAACTCTCACTTCATTCTGTGATGGATCGGAAACCATTGGCAATATTAGGACTTCCATCTCAATAAGGTCCTCGTTGATTTGACATGATAAACCATCAACTTCCCGCCTTTCGGTATGTCCATCAGTCATACACGTAGCCACGTTTCCAATATCCATTTTATTCGTGTTGGGGCTCCTTTTGGATTTTTGGTTAGTTTCTCGACTTAACCGCGAAGGAGAGTTAGGGAGCGACTGATAGTTTGGCCCAGTCAATTGGTTTAAGCCATTAGCACCTCGAGGCTTTCGAAGAGGGTTCGCAATTAATGGTTCATGGGTAACTTCATACAAGGACTGGCAACGGCGGAAGGCCCTTAGATGGTGTGAGTAAGTGGGCAGCCATTTGGACCTATCAACAAGATGCGGGATATGTCCAGAAAGGTAGATATCAGTTGCAGAACCACTTCTTTGTATCAAAATGTTATTATCATAGCAACCATTCCCCGCGTTAAAGCTGGACTTTTCTGCAACTAAAGTGTGACTGGAAATGTCCTCGGAGGATTCGGAAAAATGACAAGGAGAGGCGACTGCGTCGACAGAAGACTTCTCAACGGCCTCCACCACACGGCGGATCATAACGTCGTCAAAATAACCAGTGTGAAGAAAGGTTATTGTGAAATGTGGTCGCCAATGGACGTCTGAAAGTCTTCAAATGCGTCGTATGAAAAAAACTCGGAAAAAAACTCGTTCGGCCGAACAGGAAACGAAGAGACCGTCCGAATAATCATACAGAGCGGAGGCGTCTCAGGTTATTAAAACAAAGGTCAATTTTGTTTAACCATGAGAAAATTGTTCAGTTTCCCGAAGTAGTGACAAATGTTTATAACTTCCCTGAAAAACGCGGTTGAAATGAAATGTAAAATAACTGTCAGAGGCTACTTGTTGACAAAGGACTTAATGGATTTCAAAATTCTAAATGCTTACTTATTCAGATACGGCCTCAAATCTGCGGAGTGGACAATTGTGATTCATCTTCAAACTCTAATAACAAATAGTCTCATTTAAAAGTCGAGGCCAAAGTAGAGTAGACGGAGCATATTCCCATCGGATGGATCTTTTCTACTTTATGTTCAGCACAACAACCTAAAAATAATGTAGGTTGTTGTATTGCAGGTAGCGTGGGTAGATCTATTGTGTAGGGCACACTATGTAAGCAATCGTAAAAGTAAGTTAATCCTATCAATTGCTTTCGGAGAACCTGGACGGACTGGGAACTTGTCGAAATCCTGACCGTTGGCCTCGCCATATGGACAAGCTGGGCCATGATCTTTTCATTCCAACCTGACTCCGCGGTTTTTTATGATAACATCTGCTAGCAGGGAAGAATGCTGACAGTTTTTCGCTCAAGACAAGTGGAGACTCGAACTCAAATAAACTGGGGGTTTGGTATGTCCGAATATAGTTACGAGGGCTAGGAGATCAAAAAACTCATCAGCGATGCGAACATTTATCACAAAAAAATTAAAAAATCAAAACAAAATCAAAGCGTCAAAGGAAGCGGGGCATCTGTTCACAGTGAAGGTAAACTGCTTTCGAAGACGTAAGCAGATTATATCTAAGCAGGGTCCATTATTATCGGAAAACAGTCACATTTTTGCACAGCACAACCGATTAATAACACTGCTATTTTTACAGTACAGATAGCCTGGGAACTCTCCTTGCGTATCCCAAGTTGGAGAAACAATAGCACGAGCAAACTGCATTGCGATGTTTGTTAGTCGGGGACTGGGAAGAAATGGTTTGAACTGAGCCACGTGCTGAAACCGCAGTTTTTGACCCCCGTTTCGATGGGCTTATCGCGGCAGCTAAGAACATAATAAGACCTTGGCAACCGCGACCATCAGGCCCAGTTCTGAGCGGAAAGAGAAGAAGTGGAACGCAATTCGGGAAGATGCTGTATTCTGTACAGAACTCTTAGAGGAGAATTTCGTAGGACTTGGCAGACGGATGAGGGCCAATCAAACGCCGAAACGGTAGCGTCTGCTTGTGTGAGACATCGGGGCACTCGTTTATCGCCTTCAGCGAGGTCATGTCTAAATCAGCCTCGAAGAGGATTAGTCAATCTGGACAGCCGACATTGACAGAGGGCCAGACCGCAAATGGTGCGCATGTACAAGTAGTCGAGAGAGTCTCAACCAGCCCACATGCGCCAGGATTCGGACCACTGCTAGTGCTTCCATCCCATACCGGAATTCGGGTGAGAAATGCGGACGAAGTAAGAAAACTAAGTTTGAATGAATGAGAAACGTGCCACCGGTAATTTTGTTGTCAGCATGGTCGACTGCTGCTGGTATGAAGTATCCAGGTTGTTAGAGCTGCTGGAGCTGTTGAGTTAAACGTCCAAGGCAAAGGCGTATGCCGTGTCGGTTTATGCTGATATGAGTAAGGAGATAAAACAGTTGATGGTTACCAATCCATAAATCACCTCGGTTTTGCTAACAACTGAAAGGCAGACGAAATAGCTCCTAAGCTTGACTTTTATGACACCTAAACTTACTCAAGATCCAAGAATCCTCTCCCTAAATGAAACTTGATACATGCGAAGATCGAGACTACGTTTTGTGCGGCTCCTGAAAAAGGATTGTTGGCTTTACCAGTTATTGCATTTTGACCACTTCCGGTCGCTTTGGCCTCTTGCCATAGGAGCACGATGGGTGTGATGAGAGGGAGCGAAGTAGGTGTAGCGCAAGTTTATCCTGTTGTAAACAAGGTCATGAGTAATTGACCATTGTCCTCGCCATAAGGGACAGCGTTGGACCTCGGAGTTCGCGACTGTCGAATTATTATAGTAGTTGAAAGATTCAACCTGCCTATTCGCGTGGTATTTTCATCCCACTGCATTTTCTATCAATATTCTTTTTCAGCCTGCTAATCAGATAGATCTATCGTCATATGATTTAAGTCACCTCGTCATGTGTTACATCTTCTAAATCTGCAACGTGCATAAGTGAGAATGCGAAGTAATCCTGTACAAGCACGGTATGGTCGCCTCGACAGTGCGGGGACGGGGAAATGCTATCGCCGATACTGCCGGGGACGTTCGTAAAATTGATATCACCACGGTTGCCCACTTGACTTTCATGTGTCCCAGCTGGAAACACGATATGCTGTATGAAGAATTCCCTTGTTGTTTCATGTAGTAAAAGGCTATTTAGGTTTTATTTTTGACTTTGCGCATTAGCGCTGCGACAGTTATTTTCGCGTGCGATAGCATCGCCTATGATTATTACATCTAGTCAACTAGATAATTTCTCGGACCTTATTTTATGCGAGTGTCAGCGACGTGGTCTGTGCTCGGTAGTCGGTTAAAACAAAGCGCGCCGGGTCAATAGCTTTTAGTGTCGACTAAATGGCTTTAGCCTTACAGGCGGAGCTGACGTTCTTCACAGACACATTCATGAATTTCGCATATGTGGAGTTGGCAAGGTTTGGTTCTGTAGTCCCACTTTACTGATACCAGATGGCTAGCATACAAATGCAATATTGGGAAACGTACCTAGCTTAGCCAGTCGCTGGGTTAGGAAGGGGAAGAGAGCGTTAGCAGAGCTCGAAGCACGCACAGGAGAGCGAGTGAAGGTGGCGTGTACACACACTCTCTCTCCGGCAATAGCCACTCGGTGGATGTATAGGATAAGGAGGGCGCAATCACAATTGGAAGGCCACTGAAGAAACCGCGTGGAAATGCGCAGTTCATGGTCATTGTGGTGAAATCGACGGAGTTCTAGGCGGTCCGAACAATTCCATTAGCAAGTCTACTTGGCCACTAGCTGGATTAGGATAGTAAGGAGAGCGCAAGCGGGGCTCGAGGGATGTACAGGAAAGTGCGTGTACACTGATGTCTGAAGTAACCGGGGTTGGCCCATAAACACTGTTCCCCGTGGCATAATCACTCGCTGGACTAAAGTGGTAAGGAAGATGCAAATACGTGATATTTGTAAAGTTAGCGTATTCACATCTACCAATTTTTTTTAGAAAGCTAACCACATGGTATCTTTCAATTGGGGCTGCAGGACCAAACCTCGCCGTAAAGTCAATATGGCAAACACGTGCTTTCGGTAACTAGTCATCAGGCCAATACAGTTACATTGAAATCAAAAATTTGAGAAGTTAACAGGGCCTATAAGTGGCTCAAAGACTATTAACACTCATCTTCCCTACGCCACCTGCATAGCTAGATCGAAGTGTTATGGCCATTGGGACAAGGGAGTGAGGGGGAGTGGGGCAAGACGTGTAAGTGCTGCATGTAAATCGGGTACTTTGAGCACACATCACTGCCATCAGAAGGTTGGGCGGTGAGAAATGACCATCTAGGGTCGGCGTTGGCGTAGGCCAAATAATCCTTTCAGGTTGTCTATTGGACGCCAGCAAGCTTCTCCAGAGGCTTACTCCAACCGGTGTCAGCTACAGCCGACTCAGTGACTATATGGCTAGCGAATCCAGTGCAGTGTTGTCAGAAGACGTTGACACAGGCGCTCTGTCTTCCGTGGCCAAAGCTGACCCCAGATGATCATTGCTCGTCGCCCCAACCGCCTGAGGGCAGTGATGTGTGCTTAGCGTAGCCGTCTTACAAACATTACTCACAGCCTATGTCATCCTCCCCCTCACTCCCTTGTCCCAATGAACTGAACACGCCGACCTAGCCATGTGAGCTTCCGCAGCGGCCGAGGACGTCAAGGGTGGCACCCACTAAGGTAGCGAAACACTGGGAAGAGATCCTAGCTAAGATCGATCTGAATAGAGCGGATAGCGCGTCGCAAAACTCATGCGCACTTAATGGATGAAGGAACGTCAATAGACACTAAGGTATAATGGAACGATATGGGGAACTGGAATTACATGCAATAATAGTTAAATGTACATGTGGATGGGTAGCAACAATGAAGTAACCTGTCTGGATGGAGAGGCGACTCTGACATGCCAGTTTAACAACCGGTGGGGGATGCAGCGCTGTGTGCAACTGCAGGGAAGGGTCGACGGAGATGCCAACGTAGAAAAAGAGAGAGAGAGAGCGACGAGAACGTGACGGTAAGTTGCGGGCGGGAGCGGCTTAATGGGAGGAAGCGACAACAGCCATCTTCACCAGCACGCAGTTA